TCTCTCTCTGTGCGTGTGTGTGTTTGTCTGTGTGTGTGTTTGTGTGTGTGTGTGTGTTTGTTTGTGTGTGTGTGTGTGTGTGTGTGTGTTTGTGGGTGTTTGTGTATGCGCGTGCACGCAAGAGTTATTTTTGTGGGGAGGCGGGGGGGAATGGGCGGGGTCTAATTTGACCAGGAATTCCAAAACGTAATCCCGACCATGTAATCTGCTCCGTGTTGTCCTTTCATCTGGCCAGATGACAATTACCGCGTGCAGACAGAGAGATGACAATTGGCAGGTGCAGGTTCATCAATTTTCCACCGACAAAAAAGTAATGGAAGATTTAACAGGAAGCGAATTCTACTCGTCAGCGACAAAGAAAATAACGGTCTGGGACCTGGTTGTTTGCGAGTCGATCACGTGATATGTCAAAGGGTCATGTCGGGACGTCCTTGGCAAGTTAACGGTCTGTCAGGTGGGAGCAAGTGGTGCGCGAAACACGCGCATGTGCGGTTGGTGGGTGCGGGGGAGGTACTAGTACTAGATCTAGAGGCAGGGTCGGTTTGCTCGCTTATCTTACGGGGCTCAAAGTTTTTGGATTCGCGGCCTGGTGAGGGGGATGTGAGTGTAGTAAGATGGGTGTTGTGGTGAGTTGGGTGTGAGTGTGGAGATGGTGTGTTGTGGTGAGTTGGGTGTGAGTGTGGGGATGGTGTGTTGTACTGGGACAACTTTTCTTCTCAATGAGGTTGGTGTGAGTGTGGGGATAGTTTGATGTGGTGAGTTGGTGTGAGTGTGAGTGTGGTGATGGGGTTTCGTATGTGGCAACTTTTCGGCTAAATGAGGTGGGTGTGAGTGTGGTGATTGGGTTTTGTGATGAGGTGAGTTGTGTGTGGTAATGGTGCGTCGCACTGTGACAACTTCACGCCTGGTGAATTTGTGTGAGTGTGGTGATGTGGTGTTGTGGTGAGGTACGGGTATGAGTGTGATAGTGGTGTGTTGTGGTTGTGAGATGGTGTGAGCGTGGTGATGGGGTGTCGTACTATGACAACTACTCCCCTGGTGAGGTAGGTGTGAGTGTGGTGATGGGGTGTAGTGGTGAGGTGGGTGTGAGTGTGGTTATGATAATGGTGTGACATACTACTGTGACAACTACTTAGCTCAATTGAGGTGGGTGTGAGTGTGGTGGTGGTGAGATGGGCATGAGTGTGGCGGTGGTGTGTCGTACTGTGACAACTACTCGCCCTCTGTTACCTACAGGCGGCTGTGGTGTAGCAGTTAGACGCTTCGCTGTCGCACGCAGGAGACATGAGTTCGATTTCCAAGTGGAGATTTGCGCTGTCTTTCTGCTAAGATGCTGAATTATTATTATGCCTCTCAGCTCGGGTTGGCTTTGACAGACAGGGTTGGGAGCTCTTCTCCTAAGTGATCTAGATTGTTTCGATGGTGGCGTAAAAATGCATTCTTTAAAAAAAAAAAAATTATTTTTCGTCTGCATCAACAATAAGCTTTCTTTTTTTTCAGATGTCACTAAAGCTCAGTACTAATTGCGGGTTCGGGGGGTCGAGCCGCGGGTTTGACCTTGTGTCCTAGGGAAAGGCACTTTGAACGAATTTTCCTCACCTCACCCAGGTGAGAATTGGTGCCCAGCTATAGACAGTGAAAGATCTTGTCAGTTTGTTAGTGTTTGAGCGCTTAACCAGCTGCTTGCATTGTATGCTTTCCGGGAAGCTGGGAATGTTTCTAAGTGGTCTATGGTCTGCTGTGGTAATAATAATAATATACTGTAAAGCGCATAGAGCTTGCTTTCGAGTGGGGGCATGCGCTATACAAATGCTATTCATTATTATTATCTTTATTATTAATTATTATCATTATTATTATAATTTGCTCATTGTGTTGTTTCAGGAAATCACAACGACTGCTCTAGTCTAGCTTTTTACACACTTGTACAACACACGGAAGAACCGGGTTCAAATCTTGGAATTTGAGATGATCAACTGGTAAGTCCAGCCAGATTCCGTGTTTCTTGTGCCCTCTATTTTTTCTGTAACTTCTATTGCTTCTGTCTCTCGTTCTTAAACGCAGGCAAGTGAATAAACAAGACCTAAACAAGTGTCGTGTTCTGGGGGGGGGGGAGGCGTGCTCTTTTGTAACGTTCTCCTTCTTTCCTGTCAAACATGATAACATCTATCACCGTATCTCTTCTCCTTGTTTTCTATGTATGTTACTCTCAAGTAACACCTCAAACCTTCGGCACCGACTGATGTGACCCAATTGTGTTGCGAGTACTGACAAAGAATGCTCTCGTTTTACTCTTGACCAGCCACCTCCCAGTCGTGTTCTAGTACAGAGAATTCGTCCTCTGAAAAAGAAAAAAAAAACCCCGACATGCTAATTTGTTTTCGGTCGTTTGACGTTCAAGGACAAAGTGTATTGAAGAAAAAGGTAAAACACTCAGCCGCCTTTAGATGGTTACAAATTTAAATATTTATTGCTTCGGTGGCTTAGTTAAGGCTCTCGGACTCGCAACCGAAGATCGTGGGTGTGTCCTTGGGAAAGGCACTTTACACGAATTTTCCTCTCTTCATGCAGGTGGGAATGGGTACCCAGCTACAGACAGGGAAAGATCTTATCATTTTGTTAGTGTTTAAGTACTTTATCAGCTGCTTGCAGTGTATGCTTCCCAGGAAGCTGAGAATGTTTCTGAGTGTTCTATGGTCTGCTTGGATAATACTAATAGTGTAGAGCGCACAGAGCTTGCTGTAGAGTGGGGTTATGCGTTATATAAATTATGCTTTTTGTTATTATTATTATTATTATTA